CAGTCAGTGTGTCTGTATTAACCCCTCTCTCTCAGTGCAGTGTTAATGTACTGGAGTGTCCAGTCAGTCAGTGTGTCTGTATGAACCCCTCTTTCTCACTCTCTCTCTTTCTCTCTTTGTTCTCTTCACAGATCACGACTTGCTGCGTCAGGAGTTGAACTCTCGGTTTCTGAGTCACAGCGCAGAGCCTGTGGGGGTTGGGGGAGGGGGTGGAGCAGGTGGGGGCCGCGGAGGGGCTGGGGGCGGCTCGGCGTCGGGGGCGGCCCCGGGTTCAGGTGCTGGGGCGTCCCCGGCCCAGCCTGCCATTCCCCCGCTGGCCTTCCAGTTCCACCAGCACAACCACCAGCACCAGCACACCCACACGCATCAGCACTTCACCCCCTTCCTGACCTCCCCCGCCGCTGCGCCCCCTCTGGTAGGTGTCGGGATTGCGCTCTTGCCCCTTTCCTCCACCGGGGCCTCGTCTTTCCTCGTCGGCGGCAGCTGCAGGCCAGGCTGTGAGGTGCCAGGCCGGGCCAGCGCTGACCCGAGGGCCGTGCCGTGGGGTCTGCTCTCCTTGTAGGTGGGGCTCTCGCACTGTGTCCCCCCTGAAGGGGGGACCTGGGGCATCAGTGGGCTGTCCTGCTTCACATTGGAGACGTCCTGTGCTGGATCAGCAGGCCTGGGGCGCTGCTGTCTGGCCGCAGGCCTGGTCATCGGCACAGGGCCGTCCCGGGGCTCAGCAGCTCTGTTGCGCCCGACGTCCGAGCACCTTGTCCTCTCCCGGGGCCGGTTGTGGGCGTGGGCTGAGGGGCGGAGACGCTGAGCTCTGGTGCGTTGGTCTGATCCGCGTCTCCCAGCAGGACAGATCCTGCCTGGCGTGCGAGCCCCCCACCCCCCCTGTGGGCCAGGGGCGACTGGGCGGTGACCGCTGCGAGCTCGATCCACCCATCTCTGGGTGCCAGCTCTCAGGGCAGACGCTGGTTCTTTAGAAAGCAGCGCAGGGGGCTGTTGGGGTTGTGGAACTCTTTGGGCTGCCGTGTGACCTTTGACCCCAGTCCTGACTAAGTGCTGGAGAGGGTCCTGGGGCTCCGTCAGTGAACAACTCGCCTGCTCTCCCAGAGCCAGCCTCTTCTCTGGGCTTTAGAGCTGACCACTCCCAGCAGCTCCTGGTACCCAGTGGGACAAGGGAAGCAGGCCCTCACCCGCCCAGTTTCTCCGTCTTCGTTCGTCTCCCGCTTGTAGCGTTCAGCCTCTCAGTCCTTCCTTCTCTTTCTCTTTCTCAGTTCGACAAATTCCCAGGGAAGATGGAGGGGCTGTACCGACACAGTGTGAGTGGGGCCTCTATCTGTGTTTCTGTGTCCATGTCCATTTGCCTGCTCAGCTCTGTGTTTTTTCTGTTCCTCCCTGTGAGATCCTGCTTGTGTCCTCTCTTCCAGTTCTACCCCAACTACCCCCACTCTGTGCCTGGGATCCAGCCTGTACTGCCTGGACCATTCAGCTCACTGCAGGGAGCCTTCCAGCCAAAGGTGAAGACTCGCTGACCTTTGACCTTTCACACTGCAGCCCACACTGTTCTATATCGCCCTCACCCTTCCAGCAAAAGGGTGGCACTGTCTCTGACACTTGTTCTTTCACACTGCCCCTGTGCCAAAACTCAGACCTGGGTTCTCTAGTTGTCGCACTCAGACCTAGATGGATCACTGCTCACTACCCACTCCCTAGCTGTTCCATGAGTGACAGTCTCTCTGCTTCCAGGCTACCAATCCAGAGATGGCAGCTCGACTAGGGGCGGTGCCTCACGCCCTGCAGCCCAAAGACCCCCGGGTGAGTGACAGTGTTTCTGGTGTGTATGTCCTCAGTCACTGTTGGTGCACAGTGAACAGGTGTGTGTGTGTGTGTTTGTGCAGTCTGTGATCAGGCTCTGGCTGTGCACAGTGAACAGGTGTGTGTGTGTTTGTGCAGTATGTGATCAGGCTCTGGTTGTGCACAGTGAACAGGTGTGTGTGTGCGCACAGTCTGTGATCAGGCTCTGGTTGTGCACAGTGAACAGGTGTGTGT